AACACAGTTTTGCTGTTAATGAGCCTTTTTAAAGGGTTGGTCCACCGAAAATTTAAATTCTGTCATTTACTTACTCTCAAGTTGTATGAATTTCTTTCTTCTGCTGAAAACAAAAGAAGATATTTTGAAGAATATGAGGAACCAAACAGTTGTTGGTCTCCATTGACTTCCATAGTATGAAAAAATACTGTGTCACTGGTGACCAGAAACTGTTTGGTTACATTCTTTAAAATATCTTCTTTTGTGTTCAGCAGAAGAAAGAATCTCACACAGGCGTGGAACATCTCGAGAGTGAGTAAATGATGACAGAATTCATTTTGGGGTGAACTATCCCTTTAAATTGATCTGTTGGGGTTTCAGCCTTTATTTTTTAGGCCAGTAGAGAAACAGCTGTAAGACTGAGGAAAGAGTGAAGGGTGCACATGATATGAAGCAAGCCGGACTCTACTAACTACCCAATGCACCACTGCTTTAATAACATAGCCTCAAATTTTTTTTTTGTAACAGTTCACTCAAATAGGAAAATTGTGCCATCTTTTTCTCACTCTCCTGTCATTCTAAATCCAACATGAAATTGACAAGAAATGAACTTAGATTTTTTCCTTGGAACACAAAACTTTAACAAAATAGTTCAGCTGAATGTTACTGCAGAGTGTTGATAAATGCGACTGTCAATGCGGTTGGAAGGTTTTATAACTGCAGCTGTAAATGCGGACTTGCATTTAAGTTCCACCTATAGCTACCTACAGCTTCATCTCCTCTCTTCACTTTCCCCTCCCATCCTGAAAAACCTCTTTGATCTGTCGCCATTGTTTTCATTTGAATTTGCAGCATGTGCAAAGAGGGATTACAGAGTCTGTGTGTGTGTGTGTGTGTGTGTGTGTGTGTATGTGTGTGTGTGTGTGTGTGTGTGTGTGATGATGTTCTTTAGGGATTCAAAAATACAGAGGCATACATTAAAAGCATTTTCTGTTGCAAATTTTCCTGTCTGTTTTATTGAAACCATCTGCAAATTCGGTATCTCCTGCCGCCTCTGACCAGCAGTTTTTACACACACACACACACACACACACACACACACACACACTCCTTCTGTTGTCACCCCTGAGACAGGAGCTCAATCTGCATGCTCATTCTGTAAAATAACACTACTCTTCACCTCACACACAGCTCATTCTGACTCCCAAGGCATCAAATGCTGCCGCTTGAGTTTTGCACATCGCTCCACAGATGCTAAAGGTGTCCCTTAGTGAACAGTCTCTTTTTAGCAACGTGGATGGTATCAACCTGAAAAACCTCTACATCAATACTCTAAAATGATACCTACAATTAATTTCTCGCAATATCCTGATAATTTCAGATGTTTCATATTTGGTTTAATTGCATGGTCTGAGCTTAGGTTCGATTGCTCCCACTCCTGATGCCTGCTTTGGCTTTTTTTTTTACATTTTTATTCCAAACCATGGTATGTTTGCATCAAAGCGGCAGCTGTTTACCCCTTGTTGCTAGGTAACAGTGATGCAGGAGAAGGCGGTAAAATGCACAGAATTGCGTCTATGTTTTTGCTTCCGAAGCATTAACAAATAATAGCACTTGCATCTATTTGCTTCATTTACTTGACAATACTGTTTTAGGGGCCTGAAAACGGGTTTTGAAAATCATGCCGTTATCGTCTCCATGTAAACTACAAAGATGCGAATTTGTGAAAACGGTGACGTCGTGCGCATGCATATCACGTGTTCAGACTACAGGCATATGTGTGTATGTGCACAGGCGTGTAGTGTTTCTTTATAAAGTGACATCGCCAACTACTGGCCTGGCGTGCATAATGCAGCGTGTTTAGTTGTTTTTGTAGATCCGTGTGAATGGGGATCATTTTGACAAAGTTGTCATCTCTACACAAAACTTTTCAAAAAACGCAAAGGAATAACTTTTCCGCTTAAACAAAAAAAAAACATAACCCTAACTATATTTAGTTTGATTTAAGCTTAAAACACACAAACAAACAAAAAATGCCAGTGGGTTTGGCAAATACATTTATATGTATCTTCATCAGTTTTCCATCCGAAGTACATTTATCTTCTTTTAAAGGATTTTTAGATATTTTTAAAGGAAGAAATGCTGATGAGGAATATTTTTTTGCAGTGCATATTTATATATAACGGTATTTATACTTAAAAGTACCATGGTATTACCTTATGTTTTCCCATGGTGTTTGTTAAAAGCATGAACGGAATGGTTCTCCTTTGTTGCCTACAACAATCACCAACAAACATGTGTTTTATTTACTCGGTGCGTGATGGTAAATACTCAAGTGCTGTGCTGACAACACATTACGCTCGGTCTAGTTTACTACGTGTTAGTATTGTTGTGTTATGGAACATCATTTTGGAATTGGGGACACTAATGATACTTTTGAAGCAGTTAAATCAACACAGAAAATGACTATTTTTTGTTTTATATATATATATATTTGTTTTTGCAAATATAGTAAACGTAACTTACAACAACCCTTAATGATTATTAAAGTTGGAAATAAGGCAGATATACAGTGCACACAAATACATCATACTGTTTAATTCAATTCTTATCATTTTGCTATATTTAATCAAAAATGTTTTCTTATTTTGCAGACTTAGTGAACCTTACTGTTTGTCACGTTTCTATGAATTGCTGTTGGTTAATGTCATCAGAGCAAAGAAATGCTGCTTCTCAAACACAACCTGAAACCCCAGATGAATCACATTGTTTTAGTTCTGTTCTCTTAAGTGAAGGTGCGAGGTCACTGGCTGTTTATTTCTCATCTCCTCACCAAGCGAGAAAACTAAAAAAAACTTGTTGAATGTCTTTTTTCGGAGGTTGCAGCTTTTGAAAATATGGCTCTCTTCCTCAAAAGGAAAAAAAAAAATTGTATAAAGTATGTTTTGTTTTTGTATGTGATTAAAGGCAAATGTACTGAGACTGCCTCTGAGTTCTTTAAACAATGTGAATGCGTGTTTGATCTGTTATACACACATAAGAAAGATGTCAGTGCTACATCAGTGTTGGTGTTCCGAAGCTTTAAAGATTTAAACATTCAAATGTATCATTACTCACACTGATGTCATTCCTAGCCTATGACTTCCTCCCATTTGCGGAACAGAAAAGAAGAATGTCCAGGCTGCTCCTTTCCATGCACTGTGAGTGAATGAGGACTGAAGAGGACAACAGGCAAAAACACCACTAAACTTGACCTTTATTTCTTAACGAATGCGCTTCAGCCACCTTCAAGGCCTTCATCACACATCAAGAGCTTCAGTGGCAGTGTACTCCTCTAGAATTGATGGAGTGAATGATCTGTGTTCGTTGTTCTGATGCTATAAAAATGAGGTGTTTTTACAGTTTTTTTTAAATATAAAGAACATTTAAATGTTCAATTTCAGCAGTCTCAGGAAATCCCCAGCTTGCTTTACGGTGGAAGAGTTGTGAAGACTTTTGAGTATCCTCCAACTGTGTCGTTCCGTAGGGCAAACAATCTGAAAAACCAAGTAGCCTATATGTTGAGATTCCACCTTGTGATTTAAGTGTGGCGACTTTCTCATTTCAGTATTCAAAGACATAATATATTAAATAATCAAAGAGTTGCATCTTAGAACGAATATATATATATATATATATATATATATATATATATACACACACACACAGTATATGTGACCCTGGAGA